ATTAACGCTTGGCGGATCGGTTACGTAAGCGGACCGGTCGGCGCTTCGGCTTCGGCTTCGATCGGGAGAACAATGAGAGGAGAGCGGAAAAGCTCCGAAAATTACGCATTCAGAAAAACAAGCCAACGAACCAACCCGGAGCTCCGGGCACGCGCGCCACCGCCGGGATATTCGCGCGACATTTAGCCATGTAGCTCGATCACATGACATATTGCAAAATTCAACGTAGAAGACATAAAACGTAGTTTTCATTAATTAAAAAAAAAGATCTAACACACACGAAACTAAATATAAACATAAAGTAATATAGTTATTAATATTTAAGTGCTGATATAAAACAGCACTTAAATATACTAAATCTATAATTGAAAAATATATTAATCAAGAGTAAATTTAATTTTATTGATATTATTTTTCACTCAATTATAATAGTTTTATTTTTTCTAAAATATATCACACCAAAAACACTCCCGTGTAAAAATGACCCGCCAAGCTAAAAATATAAATATTCGTCGCCTCAAAAGGCAATGATATCAAATGAAGTAGACGCCAAGCAAATTTCCTGAATATAAATTGTAAGTTTCTCCTCCCTTCAACATTATTACCGGAAAAACGAAAATTATAGACAAAAAAAAATAATTTAAAAAAGGGATACAAATTTATCACCTTTTTTTGNAGATTATTCTACCTCTCCTTCTCTATTGCTAATGATTAATATATATATATTATTCTACCTCTCCTTCTCTATTGCTAATGATTAATATATATATTATTCTACCTCTCCTTCTCTATTGCCATCCCAAAATTGAACCAACCAATTCATTTCAAGAAATCAACGGTAAATTTTGAAAAGTTTTATCCCCTTATATTTTCTTTTTCCACGGAAAATCTGAGATGATTCGAAAGTGACAATTCCATTTAAAATGACCATGTAAATTTTAGTTTTCTTGCATCCCCCCCCCGATTGTTTTAAAATACCTTCAAATGACTATCGCATCATCAGATCTACTGGATTGTGGAGAGCTAAAGTACGGTCGAGAGTTGAAAATGAAAAATTTCTGTTAGATTAAATTAATAGAGGATTTGCAGGTGTCTGAAATTTGATGAATTTCGTGTTTAAGTGGAAACTACTGAGTGAACTGAACATGAGGATACCCATGGTTCATGAGTTGCACAATTATTGGAGAAGATATGATAAAATGATCTAATCTCCTCAAATACATGTGGTTAAATGGGAAATGCCGCCAGATGACGTCACTAAGCGGTGCATTTTCTCACTTTTAAATCTATTTTTATGCTTTCTCCTATATCAGAAAAAAATTGCAAAAAAATACTGCGAAATCAGCTCTTTCAGATGAAGCAATAATAAAATTGCGTGCAATTCTCCATTTATTTTCATTAAAGAAAAAAAACTAAGTTTCCTTAGAGATGGAAAGTGCACTTTTTTAGAACTTGGAACCATTCATAGCAAAGAATACCTAAGTCCGCAAAAACTCAACGAGTATTTATAAATAGCAGAGTATAAATTTGTGTTCTGTACGAGTTTAGGGACATAATGTCGAACCAACGTGAATTTTTGTCGATTTCAAGTTGGCGCTTCTAATTCGCGTTTCCGATGAAAAAACTAAAGTAAATTTCTAATAAGCCACATTCAGAGCAAGATACTGCAACTTTACGCCTCCTTTAACACGAGAATGAACTGAATTTCTCGTAACTTAATCAGAAAACTAAAGGCAGCTCTCTATCAAAATCGCAAAATTAAAAATGTTACTCAAACCAAAAAAAATCTCTTGAATGAAAATTACGCCATCACGAACGAGGGTTCCTTGTCCCGTTAGCGGTCACATATCTTTCCTCTAATACTGCATTTCATAATTTACTTTATTTCATAACTCAAATACCATCCACTACATGTAAAGTCACTTTTTCCATGATGTCATAGTTCTGTGAACGAAAAACGCGGTATTATATGTCACAGACCCGATGATTTCCCGGACAAGTTGGAGAATATTCGAGCCGAACAAGGAAAAATTCCCGAAAGTGGTACATGATTAAGAGCGGAGGAGTCGACGTAGCTCTGCTGAAGAGACGTCGGGTGACGTCACTGTTTGCAAAGTCGTTGTCACCTTTTTGGCCGCGAATTTATCATGCTAACGATGACAGTGAGAATGGAGACGCGAAAAGAAATGTCGTGCCTGGTTGTGTAATCAGCCTACACTCACAACTCACAGTTATAGCCCTCAGTTAGGCGATTCGCAACACCATATTGTCCAATTCTGCCTACTTTCGGTAAAACACCATGCTAGTATTTGGACGTTGCCACGATTTTTCGAATAAAATACGAATTTTCTGCGGAATTTGTAAATATTATCCCTTTTCGAATAAATTGAGTCTCAATTCAATGTTGTACATCGGAAATTTTTTAGGTAAAATGGTCATTGCAACTTTCAAACACCGAAAAAAAAACCACTTTGGATCTCGAGTCCAGACTCTTAAAAACATCGACGAGAAAAAATACTCTTGATTCAATCGGATTTTTGCTTAAATTAAGAACCAAGCCTCTTATTTTGAGCGGATTTCCTTTTGATTTAAGCTTAAATCTGATTGAATCAAGAGTTTTTTCTCTTGTCAATGTTTTCAAGCATCTGGACTCTAGATCCAATGTGTTTTTTTCTTTTCCAGTGAACTGATAACGTTAAATGTAGGTACGTTAAATCTACATCTAATTTTTCATTCAAATGTACATTATCCGTTTCAATATGCTAGAAATCAGAATAAAGACCAGGATACAACTTATCAATGGATTCTGAATAGTACGTTGCTGCGTCAGCGACTAGATCAAAGCTATATACAACTCGTGTTCGTACCTGTTTTAAGCATATTCCACCTCAAGATGTTCCATTTTTTTAAGAAGTGTAGTTATCCATTCTAAGGTAAGAACTAAATCACTTGTTCGTGCAAATTTGCCCAATTTTCTTTTTCAAACTCTTCAGCATTTTCCAAACTTATTATCTCTCCTCTGTTTCTACAGTTTCTTTCAAATCTGATGCTGTATATCGTTTCTAATCTCGCCAAACATAGTGCGGGAGCATGTTATGCGTATTAGCAAACACATATTAGCGCCTACAAGAGCGCAAGAATACTTCACGCATTGCGCCTAACACAGAGCGGTCGCTGGTCGGCGCTAAAAACATATTAGCGCCTACAAGAGTGCAAGAATACTTCACGCATTGCGCCAAACACAGTTCGGCCGCAAGTCGGCGTGAAATGCATGTGAGCAATTCTACAAAAACTATCCGATTTGACCTCCAAAAAACTAAAATTTCGACTTGATTATTTTGAATCGAGGGTTTGTGCTCCTAGTCACGTACAGTAGCAGGCTTAATTTAACACGGGTACCTTTATTTTATCAGGCCTTCCCCCCCCCCCTTTGTTACACACAATATATCCTTTACGGTATGACGATCATGACAAATTGAAACAAACACGGTGTATCTGAGTATACTCAACAGCAATGAAGCACAATCTCAAAATTCAGTACACGAGCAGTTGGCAGTCAGAACTTTAAAATTGACACTTAGATTTTTCAGAATTTCACACGCTTCAAAAATAAAAAGCGTGACGGCCGTGACACACAAAAAGGTTCAAATCAGTGGATTTATTGTGTTTTAAATCCTTTCAGAATATTCTGAATTACGGCAGTAACTGCTATACGATCATATTTTGATGTAAACACTTCACTCAACGAAATGGAACGTTTTTTAAAGCGATTTTGACTACCCCTAGCGCAGCGGCCGTTTTGACGAACAAAAACATCTGTCACCGTTGTGACGTCGGAACTTCATCGCAAAATATTTTCAAGATATATCGAGGTGTAAATCGGATTTTTGATTTTTGGTTCTTATGAGTACCACACAGCAATGAAAAGTGAATCTGATAGAATTTCGCTCTTTTGCAACTTCTCTGGCCCAGAGCCTGAAATTTTTGTTTGAGGGCATATTCTATTATTTTGAAACAAACGATTCATCGAATCACGATCGAATACATTCCATAGATCGTATTCGATACATCAAACTGGTGCGGCTGTATCGATATCGATTGGTTCAAAACATAAACATAGCCTCAAAAGTCAATTGAGTAATCTGACGCAACGGGTTTTCTGTGATAGATTTTTGATTCGTATGAGTACTAAGTGGGCAAGAGTAGTGAAATTGCTACGAAATTTCTCAGTTTCAGCTTCTCCGACAAATGTCCTGAAATGTTGGTTGAGGTTATGTTCTTTTGTTTTGAAACAAACGATACATCGAACCACTATCGAATACGATCTATAGTCCATATTCGACGCTCCTTTGCGGCTGGGCGCGCAAATTCAAATTATCCCGCCCACAATCGAAGCGAAACGGGACTCGCGCCGAAGGGCGCGCTCGTCTCTCGAAGGTCGCGCGTGCAATCCAGTGCGATCTCTCGGACGCGGCGCGAACTAAAAATGTTTTCGCGAGGATTAACTCTCCGCAAAGCGCACTCATTGGAACGTTAAGCCAGACTCGATATGAAGAAGATTAGCTAAATAACCACACTATGTAAACGAGAGCTGCAGTTAGAACTGTTCGAAAACAACGATCGCCATTGCATCAGTGGCGTGGCGTGAATTGCGATACATCAATTGTTATGCCATTTAAACCTATGGTAAAGAATCGATTATTAAGGTGTTCGCTGCGAACACCCTATTTATCGATCCTTTTCCATAGGTTTAAATGGCAGATCATTCGATACATCGCAAAGCACGCCACGCCACTGCATTGCATCATGCTCTGCGTTGAAATTTCATCATATAAATTTTAACAATAAATCTTAGAGAGCTAAACGACTTTTTCCAAATAAATCAGGTGTGGGTAAAAGATGCCTGCGTGGTTTTACAATAATATCAACGATTATTTGTATTTTCTTTATTCCTTTTGACTTTGGATTTATTTAGATGGTATAATTTTGGAGAGACTTACCGGCTCTGAAGATTTCTCCGCAACCGTCGCATCTGGAGGCGAATTGAGCGTCATAGCAGCTACCGCAGTAGATTTTCTCGACCTTTGAGCCGAACTGTTTGTCGACTAGAGACACTCTGCACTTATTGCAGAGGAAGCAGCTCTCGTGCCAATGTTTGTCTTTATACGATAAATCCTGGAGGAGAAAAATTAGCGAGAATTAGACGTGGATAAAACTAATATGTTTATTTATTTATATCTTACGCAATTAACAATCGTCGACAAAATGCAATATTTTTCGTGTCGTACCAAAAAATGTAAAAATTCAGAAGTAAAGAAACAAGATAGAAGGCACTGTTACTATGCTCGGATTTCAGCCACATGTTTGTTTCTTTCTTGAAGCATGATACCAGCTAGCTGCTAGCACACTCATGAGTATGAGTATAGTGAAATCATTGACCTTACTTGGGTTCGGTTCGGATAGGCAACTAAACTAACTACCTGGCAAAGCGTAGAGTATCACTAATCTTGAAGGCGCTCGAGGTCGCAGTCGTATGCTTCTGAAGTTATTTACCAATGAAGCCTTCATTATGTCTGAGCAAATCATTGTAATTTGACGAGTAATCACGCATGCCGCTTGTAAATTGCCGTTGATTGCTAAGTGCCTGCGACATTTATAGATTTCCTGGTCATAAAGTTCGGCTTACGGCTGTGCCCATCCAATTTGTCCCAAAATACCTCTGATGTTTAATATACTGATTTATCCGGCGTAGGTAGACAAATATATCTTCTTTATTTATTAACTATTTTATAGAATGGAGATGTTGCTTGTGTGAGGAAGTTGCGATTTGACTGTTGATTCTGATGTAAAAGTTCGCGAGAAACACGATGGTGTCATTGGTTTTCTCTGAAATTAACTCCTAAGCTCAAAAAAAGCTCTCAAGTTGAGGCCAAAATGGAGGGCATATCCCACGCTATCCTGAGAGTCCACCTCTACATCAAGACAAACTCTCCATGCACAGATAGGGAGCAAATACATTAGCAGGATTGCCGTGTTGTCAGTTTTGGAGTACCCAAATAAAGTGGCAACCCTGCTAATGTATTTGATCCCTATCTTTGCATGGGGAGTTTGTTTTGATGTAGAGGTGGACTCTTAGGGAGGGCGGGATATCCCCTCCATTTTGGCCTCACTTTGAGAGCTTTTTTTGAGCTTGGGAGAAGATTTCAGAGAAAACCAGTGGCACCATTGTGTTTCTCGCGAACTTTTACATAAGGATGGTCAAATCGCAAATCCCTCACACATGCAACATCTCCATTATCGAGTCTTGGTTGCATGTAAGAGGCGGGATCGGATTTACCTTAGAGTCGATTCCGATGATTTTGTTGCACTCCTCGCAAGGGTTGGCGAATACTGATTCGTAGCACTTGATGCAGTACGGGTGCTCATCCCGGAGAACGTATCGTTTGCCTGTGAGGGACTCGTCGCATTGCCAGCAGCAGAAGTGCCCAGAGTGCCAGTCCTTGTTCATGGCCTTCGTGTACTCTCCACTGAAAATCAACTGCAACACACAAAAACCGAATTCGTTACGACCAGTGTAACAGATCATCGTCATATCTGAACGTAACCCAGAGAAAATAGGACGCTCACCTTTACATGGGAATTGGAAGTTTCCGAAAATTGTATGCTTTGGGTGAAATTTCCCCTACTGCATCTAGTTACCCTGCTAAGCGGATTTGAATCTGTTTATCAAAATTGTCCGTTTTCTCCCAGACCATACCGATTCATGACGAAAATTATCAACATCTTTGAAACAACTACAAATAAACTAGCACGATTTGGATTCGCATTTCCTGAGGAACATTTGCCATCATTCGGAGAGAGAAAAATTCGAGCGCCTTCAATTCTACGTGTATGCAACACGGGCAACCGCTGAGCACGAATAGTTGTATCGAAATTTCAATAAGAACGTCGCAGGTCACCCGTATCCGTCGATAAAAAGTAACAAACAATAAGTTCCTTGATTGCTTCATTAATTTTTTTGCTTATTTCATTGATGTCCCGTCAATTTCGTTGCGATATTGATTGCACTGGAAAAAACACACATTTGATCTAGAGTCCAGACTCTTAAAAACATCGACAAGAAAAAATACTCTTGATTCAATCGGATTTTTGCTTAAATCAAGAACCAAGCCTCTTAATTTGAGCGGATTTCCTTTTTATTTAAGCAAAAATCTGTTTGAATCAAGAGTATTTTTTCTTTTAAATGTTCTCAAGAGTCTGGACTCTAGATCCAATATGTTTTTTTTTCCCAGTGTGCGTTAACAGATTTTGACGGTTTATGTGAAACAAATTTCAGCTTTGAAAAAAGAATGCAAACGCATACACAATGACGGGAAACAGATGGAAAAAATGTCACGGTCTTATGTGCTTCAGACACTAATCTTTACAAAACTCTTTACTGATGTTTTATTCGTTCTCTGGCATAAAGAGTCTCGATCATTCGAATGCATCTGTTTTTATGGAATCCGCATTTGTCGCGTAACACGTTTCGTTATGACAGTGTGTAAGGTCAAGGAAAAAGCTTCTGCAGATGTATTATTTTCTTTATTTTCCTCTCTTGCGAGAACTACTAGCGCTCGGAAGGAAAAACTTTTTGGAGAGGACCTAATATCCATAAATATACTTTACGTTTGGATGGCCAACTAAATGAATTGCGCCATCGTAGAATCTAAAATATATGCATACTTTAATGCGGGGATAAGATGAGTAAACGCAAAATGTGGAGTATGATTCCCAACAATTATACCGAGGAGTGATCCGTTTAAATTGTTGATTGCTACTACTTCATTGAAAATGAGAGAAATGATTGAACGAATTGAGTTAGCGGTGTGTCTGAGTAGTAATCGTAATTTGTGCATTTTTTAAATAAATAAATATTAATTAAATATTAATTAAATATCTTCATTGGCGTGAACGGCATGGAAGTTATCCTCATCGTGTCTTAGACATAAAAGTAATAATTTTGGACGATCATTCCAATGGACACGAGTGTAATAAAAATTGCGTTTTGCGAGTTTGAAGGCACTACAGCGTGCAGTTAAGAGTTTCGCGTCAATCGCATTCAACGTGGCAGCACCAGCGGCGCGGCACTTTCGATAGTCACTCAAAGCAAACCTTCACTTTTCAATGTAAACAAATCGCAGTTTTTCGTACTTAGTCTCAGTTGTTCCCAATGAATTTTTACTAACTAAAGATTGGCTGGAGCAATTGAGAACAGTTAAAACAGATTGCCTCACTAACGAAATATCAACTGAAGGTTTAATATTGATTGATCAAAAGCTGCGGTGGGGATAATCAGTGTCATTCAGTCCTTAAATTTCAAAAGATCCTACGATTTAATCCTTTACATCACTGAAAAGTTCATTTGAACAATTTATTTTAAGCCGTTCATTTTAACCTGGCAGATGGCGAAGGGGACGCTAGACCAGTCCTCATCAAATGAACGGAAATAAGGCAGAAAAACCTGATAAGAAAATAAAAGTGGCAAGTTTCTCTACGAGAGACAACTTTCTAATGTAGAAAGAAACGAAGAAACCGAGAATGCCCGATTTTAATGACGAGTATGAAGGAGGCCCTGATTCTCAGCAGTCACATGTTTTATAAAAGAAAAAAAGAAACTAAACAATTTAAAACATACTGGTACATTTTCTTAATCTATAAAGTATTCTTTCATCCCCTTTTTAATAAATAAATTATCATCTGAGTAAATAAATATGTATGGAAATTCTCATATTTTCGGTAGAAATGTCTCTTTTTGCAGCCGTGACTCAGTATCACACACTGGGAAATTTTACCGAGGCTCCGCCCAAAATTTTCTCCTTGATTGCGTCGACGTCAATTACCAGTTTGACGTCAGGCCGAAAAGAGTGGAATATTTTCTTAATCTAAAAAGTACCCTCTCATCCCCTTTTAATAAATAAATTACCATCCGAGTGAATAAATACGTATGGAAATTCTCACATCTCCGGTAGAAATGTCTCTTTCTACAGCCGAGATACTATCACACTGGGAAATTTTCCCGAGACATCGCCCAAAATTTTCTCTTTGATTGCGTCGACGTCAATTACCAGTTTGACGTCAGGCCGAAACGAGCGGAATTAACGCTAATCACCCCCGTTTCCCGTTTCCCATTTTCCGCTTTCCGTCTTCCTCAGACCCAATTTATTGACTTTCAAATTTCGTCCGCGGAGCTCGTAAAGCAGTAAGGAGCCTCATCACATCCGGACGGCGTTGGAAAAGCACCCCTCTCTCCTGCCCGAGCTGCGTGAGGTGTGGTCATTTCCGCGCACGATCCGGCCATCTCGCGCGCCATTTATTGCGAAACAAATGCGTCTGGACTCTGTTGACTGTCTATTTTTATCCCCCCACCCGGCCGCCGACTTGGGGGTTCAATCCCCCGTGAAAACACTTCAGCGCATCGGGGAAACCCAATTATTCCGGCACATTTGGGAGTCTCTGACGTCTTTCTGCAATATTCAGCGGCGAGGCCTCGCGTTTTGGGTTATGAAACTTGATATTTCAGTCAATTTTGACGAGTACATTGATCCTCATTAAGAGCTGGAAGTGACTACGCTGCCAAGCTGAAGAAGAACGCCGTATGAGCCACCAGACGTTGCTAAATTTCCTTAGATAAAATATGATTTAATTTATTTATTATTTATTTATTTAATTTCATAATATATGATTCAAGGGGATCTGACCATATTTTTCAGAGAATTTTATTTGCGATCAGATCTAAATCATTTGAAAATTTCAAGAGGAAATATTCATAACGCTCCTAACAAATAAGCATTGTCCCGGGGGAAATTTGGCAACTTTCGAATGTTCATACAGCGTTTTTACTTAGCATGGCAGTACCGATGTATGAGCTAGATACTGGTACCTTTGGACTCTTTCATTCATTTCTGCCCCTAGAATTGTCAGGAACTTTGATAGAAAGGATAGAGAAAGCCGACTATTTCTATTTAAAAAAGGCAATAACTGTACACACTCCTACTCCCGCGCCTATGATAAAAAAAAAAAAAAAAAAAAAAAAAAAACTTAGACCAGTCCCGCCGCGTTACTGTCCTTGAAATTTCGTGTGACACTAAAAATAACCGACAAAAGCACTTCATTGAGAAACCATAAAGCGTAGACGGATCATGGGGGGGGGGGGCGTAGAGGGCGTGCCCCCCCTCCCCCCGTTCGCCCAAAAAAAGGAGGAAGAGAGAGCGAAGAAAGAGAAAAGGAGGGAACGGAAGAGAGAAGAAGGAATGACGCTCTTATTTGGTGATTGTTCATGACGAAATCGACTTAAACTGCATATTAGATGCTTAAAAATGTCGAAAAATTTCTCCCCTCGGACCCCCCCCCCCTTGCCCGCGATTCGAAGTGTCTGGATCCACCCATGTCATAAAGCTGCACATAATGCACAAAAGCGCTTACTCACTTTGGAAAAATGAAAGGAAAGAGGGCATTGTGAAACTGTGGAAAGGGATACAGGCTAAGGAATAAGAAGCCGCACAGTGGATCGAGTAAATCAGAGGGGTCGGATATGAAATTTTTGACTAAAACTGCAAATTTTGATGTTGAATTCGTCACATTTTACATTTTAAGGGGTGCATCTAGAAGAAAATTTCACGAGGACACCAATGGAGCCACCTTTAAAACCTCAAGGTTTTGTATGGACGGAATTATGAGCTTTTAAAGTTTCCAAATTTTGTCCGACTTCCCCCATCGACTCGATCCATTGTAAGCCGCTAGGTGTCGAAACAGACAGGGCTGAAAGACAGGCGTTTGCCGAGTCGGAAAACAAATAAAAGGCAAAGGATATTGACGGGGGCAAGAGGCTCGCACCGACAGAGATACGAACGGGGGAAATAAACAATCAAGAACTATTATTAATCGAATCGGGAGGAGAGGAAGCGAACTTGCCGGGCCAATCAAGTGGAAACTAGATTGGAAGTTCAATTGAACAGCAGCTCATTGTGTCGAGCATCAGATGGGGAAATAGTTTCCCATCCATGCTTAAGCCCTTTTCCGTCACTTATTTCTAGATCCTTCGCTCACACGATAATTGGATCGCTTCAAGCTGGGGCTATTTGCGTTTAAAGTTCTGGGGCGAGACCTATCCTTTGGGAAAATTATGCGTCACTTTTCTTGTAAATTGAGAAGGGATGCATGTACCGGGATATTTTAACGTCCTATATTTCGATATTATCGACAATATACGGGTTGACTTTTTTTATGAAAATTTCGGCCGAGAAACGAAAAAAAAGAGCACGGAGTTGTTATATGAGATGGACATTTCCAATTAATTGTGGTTGTACCCCAATAAATTAAGCTACAAACCCAAATGTTGCGGTGCTACTCCGACTCAAGTTGCGGTACTACCACAATCGATGAAAAATCTCCGCATATCATTCAAAGGATTGTGGTAGTGCGACAATTTTAGGGGATGAACTCTATCACTTTCTTTCCGTGGGCTGAGAGTTCTATTATATCATGAATTATCGAAAT